CCCCGCCCCTCCCCGCACATCTGGCGCGCACAGCTGGCCGCGGGCGGGGCGCGCGCGCGCACATCTGGGCGGCGGCGCCGCGCGCGCGTCTGGAGCGGGGACCCCAGGTGCGCCAGCGTCTGGCCAGATGTGGCAGGCAGCTGTGGGCGGCCAGGAGCCCGGCACAGCTCGCACGGCCCCTTCGTTAACCAAAAATTACTCTTGAATATTTTACAGACAAAACTCTGCCCGAATTCTGCCTCCCGGCTTGGCTTTCGGAGGTGAAACCACCCAAAACACACAGCCCTGCTGAAGCGGGCGAGCGGCTGAAGTGCAGCGCTCCAGCTGTCCTGCAAATTGAGGGAAACTCCGAAGGCTTTGAGAGGCGCGCGGTGCTGACAGCCCGGCTCGGGATTCAGGTGTCCCCTGCGGTCACACACCTGCTCTGCAGCAGACGGGAAGCGCCAGCCATGTGCCCACCACGTGTGCAACTGGGAAAACATCTGGAACAGCGTCGGGCTGGAGCACGAGCTGGAGCCTGCACCAGCTGCTGGCACAAATCCCAACTCTCTGACCCACAGCTGGGTGAAGCAGCCAGGAAAGGAGCGAGGGTGACTCTCTGCCCATGGAGGTGCAGCTTTGTAAGGAAATTCACATCTCTAGATTAACTCACCTCTTAAAAAGCATGGCCTGAGGCCATCCTGACCCCTTCATCCCAGTACTCCGTGTGGAAAGCCGGGTTTAGTTCCTCAAGAGCAGGAAAACGCATTGAGTTGGACTTGCTAAGGTTAACACAGTGATATGCAAAAGCTAAATCCAAGTGAAAACACATTTCTTCTTCACAAACAAGCCCAGATGCAGACAAACACCCTGCAGAGATGTCAGTGCTGCTGCAGGGTCATAGCAAAGGGAACAATCCCGCAGGACATTCCCCAGATTTGTGTTGTCTGCCAAGTGGGGAGGGCACGGAAATCAGCCAAAGGGATTCAACATCCCAAAATTCAATATTGGAAAAGCCACAGTGTGAGTGGAGAAGCTTTTCTCTCCAGAGCTGAATGTGGCTCAGCTCAGGTGCGTTTTGTTTGCTAAGAAAATCAATATTTGCCATGCAAACAGCTACCTGTGTCCATGACAGGGACAATTATTTTCATTCTCTGAAAAGCTGTGCCCTGGAAGGACTCAATTTCCAGAGTACCCAGCACTTGAAAGGCTTTTAAATGTGCTCACAGAGCTGCTGGAAGCCCAGAGAAACCCACAACTCCTTTCAAAGGTGGCAAAATCCCTTTCAAATCCTTTTTCCCTGACAGCTATTGATGAAGAATAAATGTCCTTTGCTCCCAAACGCAGACGGATTTGGAGCAACGATTTCAAGATGAAACAATCCGTCTCCTGTTTCCAGTAAGTTTGCCTCGATCCATTAAACAGCACTTTTCAGATGGCTTTATTGGTTTTTCTTTTATGGCTTTCACTGTGACTCACACAGATTGGCCCTTTTAAAGCCTTCCAATCGAACGGTGCCTCCGGGGTGGGGGAAACGCTGTTCTCCGAGGGAAAAGGGGGAAAAGAGCAATGCCGGATGGAGCAGATGGAAATCTGGGATGCAGAGGGTGCCCCACGCTGGGTTCTGCTTTAATCAATGCTCAGCCAGCAGTTACAGATCAAATAACCCAGCAAATGCTGCAGAAATACTGCACCAAGTGATGGCTGGTGCAGATAAACACCCCGAGGAGGGCAGAAGGAATCGGGACATTCACATCAGCCCCTGCCTGCTGTGTTTTGGGAAGCTGGGAATGATTCCCCTGGCTGGGGCTCTGCAGGGATGAAGGATGAGCCCAGGAGGAGCAGGATGGTCCTGCAGGGTCACACTCTGGGGTTTGCTGGGCTCTGGAAGGAGCAGAAGTGTGTGCTGATGGCTGTTTTTCCCCATTTTCCCTCATCAATGTCATGGTTTACGGTTGTTCCCATGCTCTCAATTCCAGATGTGTCTGGGATTGCTGGAGGGCAGAGGAAGAAGGAGCATCCCTCAGTTCTGGTGCTATTTAGGAGCTTAAATGATGCTTTTTTCTCCATCTCATTTCCAGATGTGAGCCACAGCATCAACCAGACTTTTCCCCACATGGCAGAGCCCAGCTGGACATCACTGCCTGGTGCAGGGCAGTGCAGGAACCAGGCACAGCCTGCACAGCCTCGGGCAGCTCAGACTGTCCCAGCCCCTGCAGCAGGGACAGTTTTTGCTGCTTGGCACCACCCCAGGGCCCTCCTGGGGAGCAGCATCTCTGCTGCCACATCACCCGAGCTGCTGAGCCAGCAAAGGCCCCAGCACTGCTGCCCTGACCTCTGCAGCTGGAGTCTGGCACATTCACAGGCCAAAATGAGGCTTTTTTCCCCTCCCCTGGACTCCCAATCCAAAGCTTTTCCTGCCATCAGCTCTACTCAAAAGTAATCCTGTATTCAAATCCAGTGTGATATTTAAAAGCTTTCTACTCCAGATAGCCTGGCCCTAATCCAGGTGCATTTTACCTTAATTCCACCTCCCAATCTCAAGAATGCAAAGAATTTCCCCCTGGCTCTGTCCAGCTCATTCCAGCAGCCCCTGCTTGCTGGCTTGTTCTTGCCAGAACTGTTAAATACGATTATTTTTCCTCAAATACCTCAGCAGCAATGGCACAATCCCATTTTCTGTCTCACATGAGGAGGATCTCTGATCTCTCCTTCATGGAGAAGGAGCTGGAGGAAGTTCAGTGCTTGTGGTTTTCATATCTGAAGTCACTAAAGGGAGTTTGAAAAGGCAGGGGAAAAAAAATCTGTTACCTCCTTGTAGAATTTTGGAGCCTTCACAGAAGGAATTGAAGGGAGGGATTTGGAAGATATGAAAAAGCACACACAAAGCAGCAAGGCTGGATTTCAGCTTGTCCTGTGGAAATTCATTTGGCTTTTGGGTAAAATCCCAAAATCCCAAGCTCTGAGTGCCCTGTGCTGGGCATCCTTCCCTCTGCCTGCAGCCCTAAGGGGTTCCTTGGCTCTGTGTCAGGGATGTGCTGAGTCAAGGATGTGCAGGGATGTGCTGTTATCTGGGCATTTATGGATGGGAACAAACCCATGGGAAAAATGATGGGATTCGTACCTTCCTGCCAGAGGAAAATGCCAATTACTCCAGCACAGCCCTCAAACCCCCCCTCTCGGATCCCAGGGCAGGATCTTTCTCCACATTCCAGCTCTGAGATGTCCCTGGGCTGAGGGTGGTCCCAGAGCCCTGAGGCAGGATAGGGAATGGGAATAAGCCACTCCTGGCTGCAGGATGGGGGCAGCTGGCACCCAGCACCACAGATGGACCCCAGCACAGTCTGCAAGGGCAGGCTGAGCCAAAAAAACCCAACCTGGACATTCAGGGAAGACTTAAAATTCCCTGAGAGGAGGAGAAAATTCAAGGACTGTGTCCACAAGCCTTTGAGTTTAGGGAAAACAGGCCCCACAAGACAAGAAGCTGATGACATTTTGCTGCATCCCAGGAGAGTCAGATGTTCCTGCACACAGATCCTGCCTTGAGCCTCACACAGATGATTTTAAGAGCAGAGCAAACCTGTCAGCCACACACCCAGCCAGGACACTGGTTAACTTGGAAGGATGTTCGTGTCTGGCTCAGCTGTTCCCAGAGGAACACTCATTTTTATTGCCTTTCCCTGCTACTGAGATTTTTCTGGCTCTCGTGTAGCGATGGCAGTGCCCGTGCAGAGTCTGCCCGTGCAGAGTCTTGCCCTTGGTCCAAAGCCACTCAAACCAAGCCATGGGAATCCCTGTGGGAGCAGAAATGCCATTCCCAGTGATTGCCACCAAAATCCCTCAGCTGCCAGCACAGGGATCCTCCAAAACTGCAGGCACAGCATCACCCTCGTGCAAACCTGACAGCATCTCAAACTCCAGCTTTTCCCTGGATTCCCTGGCAGGGATCCCTGGCTCCTGCTCCATCCCCAAGCAGGATTTTCCTGCTGCAAGCACCATTCCAGGCTATCCGAGTCAGGAGAATAAGGACTTTATTTTTACAACCTGACCTTCACCCGCTTGTAGCTCAGAGAGGATCAAGGTGATTTTTGCTCCAACCCTAAAAAGCAGCATTTTCTGACAAACAGCTCCATATTCCCCACCTCTGCCTGATCCCTGCTGGTTTCTAGACGGGACAGCCATGAACTGACCTTGCCACGTGTCTGGAGAAATAATTATGGGGGTAGGAACATCTCATGCTGCCCTCATCACGGGCCAGGCATTTCAGGCATCACACGGATTTATTTCACGGGAAGATTATTTTCCCCAGCTGCAGGAGCCCTGGGAGGTGCAGATCTTTGGGATTTTCCAGCTGGTAGAAAGTCCAATAAATACAGAAGGAGCTGTTTTTCCAGCCATAGGCATCTCCCCATGTCCTTGGCTCGCAGACAGCTGCTGATGTGGCACGAGGACGTGCGGGAGGAGAGATCATCTCCAGCACGGGGACATCCCAGAATAACCCATTGCCTAATTCCTTCCCCTTCTTTAGGTTTTCCTGAAAAAAAAACCCTAAAAAAACCCCAAATCAGTATCACAGAGACTGCCTAAGCTGGAGTGTTTATAAAGTCACCACTGAAGGCTTTGGGTGATGTGTGATGCTCTCAGTTGACCCTTATTAAGAGGAGAGGGATTTCTTATTTCTTATCCTGTGAGGTTTAAATGGCTGAAAATTCCCGGTGGTTGGCAAGATTAAGGCCTGAGTTTGTAAAGCTTTAGCACACTGGCCTCCTAATGAGATAAATATCCATCAGCTCATTAATAAAGAGGTCATCCAGGAATGATCTCGTCCGTGCTGGAAAATGGCACAAGGAAATGACAGCAGCTCACAAACCCCAGCATCTAATTAATAAAATTAAAAACCTCGCTGCCAAAGACACAGGATCAAAACTCTGAAGGAAGATCATTAATGATGGGATGGTGCAGCCCTGTTCTGTGAGGTTCTTAGGAGGGCAGTTAAAATTCCCAGTTAAAGATGAGACAAGGCAGAATTTCAATCCCATCCCCAGCGTGGCTCCTGGTTCCAGATGTATTTGCACCATTCTCTGCCTCTGCAGGCCTGAGCTTGATTTGCCATCTACAAGGAACTGAATTAAACCTGAATTCTCCCTCCACAGGGACTGCCATGGACTTGTCACAAAGTCTCAGTTCAGCCACTGAGTTGGGAGTTTGGGAGCAAATAAGGAGAGTGATGTGATTCCCTAAAAAAACAACAAATAAAATCCCATTGCCTTTGGGGCCATTTGGTGGATCCAAAACCCCATCCTGGCACGATTTTCCCTGTTTGCAGTGGGTGAACAGCTCAGCCCAGGATATTGCTTAAAAACCCTTGATTTGGACTCATTTTTCTAATTCCCAAGTTGGCATCTTCAGGTCTTGAGTGAAAGGGGTGAAGCCCCTGGGCCAAAATCTGGGGGAATCTGGAGAATTCTGCCTTTTCCAGAGCTCTCTCTTCTTGTTCAGATTCCACTGCTCATTTATTTTTCCAGTGGCCTTTTGGAATGTGACCCCAGTATTTAATGCTAATCCTGAGGTGCTGCTGGGTTTGCCCTCACTGAAAATTCAGGAAGCACCTCAGTCTGGGAATGGGGAGATTCAAGGGGAGAATCCCAATATGAAATCTTCACTCTCAAAAAAAAAAAAAAATCCTAAATAATTCATATAAATTCATTGAAGACAAAATACAAATCTAGACCTCCTTCCTCCCCATCCCCAACCACTGGAAAACATCCCCCTCAACTAAAAAACAGATGTCAAATTAAAAAAAGCAGCACAGAGAAGGATGAAATGCATTGAAATAATAATCTGTTGAAGCTCTGCCCCTTTATGCAAAGAAAGAAATTCCATTTTTTTCCCTCAAGAACCCTCAAATTCCCCCAGCAAAGGCAAATAATGAATTTACCCACCTGAAATAACTCTTTTAAATCAAAAAAGAGAGCAGCCATCAATACAGGAATTTTCCAGAGGAGAGAAAAGACACAGAAATGGCAAAATCAGGAATTGCTCAGCCCATCCTGGTTTTAAAACTTTCTCCATCATTCCCAAATATCCCCAAACAAACACATTTATAGTTAACAACCTCAGACCCATTCCCATGGGATCCTGTTGGATTTGCTTGGTGTATCCCCTATTATTAAATTCTGCCCATTCTCTTGCATTCAGTCCTTACAGGAATATTCTATTTCTTGTTTTCCTATGAAAACCAGACTTTCCCTGCCAGAATTGGCCCACAAAGGGCAGAACTCCCCAGGCAGCACCTGCTGGTGCTCCTAAAGCCACAGAAAAAACTTTCTGCACTCCTGTAGCCAGCAAGAAGCTTCTGCCCTCAGATTAGAGCTTTGGATTCCAAAAACCTTTGGCTTCTTTAGGCAGAAATCCTTGCCTCGCCCTTCAGGCAGCCTCTGGCTAACCTGGGATGGATGGAAAGCAGCTGGATTTAGTGTTTTGAGGTTTTTTTGGGGATGCATCCAGCAAGGACAACAGCACCAAACCACAGGGGATCTGGATCTGCCACCTCACATCAGCCCTGTCCTGTGCAAGGGTATGAGAGACCCATCCTGCTCTACTTAAAACACCTTTTTATATGCATAATATCCACATAAAATGCTCTGGAAAAGGTTCCCCAGGGAAGGGAAGGGAGCTGATCAGAGTTCAAGGGGCATCTGGATTCTCCTACTCACATGCTTAACTTTAGGTAGGAGTGAAGAGCAGGGAATTCAACTCGATGATCCCTAGGGACTCCTTTAAACTCCAGCTATTCTGTGATTCTATATCCTAGTCTATAAACACACACATAAATAAATAAAATATAAATATATAAATATAAAAATATATTTTTATTTATATAAAGATAATAAAAAATTCTGCCCAAGCCTATGGTTGGTGCCCACCCAGCCTCCCTCACTCCTCTCCTCAACAGAACAGCAAGGAAGAGAAACTGAAAACAAAGCTCAGGGGTCAAGAGAAACTCAGGAGCCACCCCAGAGCCACCAAACCTGGCTGGAGGAGGAGCAGGCACCACCCCTCCACCACCTGCCCTGCAATTAAAACTCCCAAATTGTCCCAAAAGCACCTTTTGGAGCCTTGGCCAGGACACAATTCCTGCAGGGATTGAGAAAATGTGACCGTGGGATCAACCCTCATGAATGCATTTGGGGAACCCTGCCAGTGCCTGCATCTGATTTCTTGCCTCAGCTCCAGCCAGCTTTAATGCAACATCAGCTTGGAAGCTGTAAAACATCAGACAAACAATGTAAACCAATGCAAGCAGCAAGATTTAACAGGAAACAGGCTGTGCTCTTCGTTTTCTGGATGGGAGAGCAGCTGGCTGGGGCAGGGATGATCCCATCCAAAACTCCTCACACCCATTTGATGATTTGCAAGGAGAGACAAGGGACTGAAGGCTGATTTCATGGGGGAAGTTGGTGTAAATTATCTCTTTGTGGCTTCAAATGGGACAAAAGGCAGAAAAGTCACAAAAAGAGACAGATAAAATATTATTAAACTAAAAGCCTGGAGAAAAAAAGAGCAGCAGGAGGAACGTGATGCCTGGACATGTTGGGATTTCCAGCCTTTTGAAGGATTGGCAGTGGCATCACCACAGGAATAAATATCTGTGCCCTGGAGCTGGAAACAGCTACACTTAACACCTCTTTGGGGGATTTGAAGGCTGGCAGAAAGCTCCAGGAGGAATTTTCTCCTGCCAGCCGTGGCCAGTGCTGAGGTCACCAACTGCACCCGGAGCAAGGAACCCGTGAGGCTCCAAACAACATCAGGGATAAAGCCAAAAGCGGCTGGTGGGAAGGTTGGGAGCCAAGGGATGAGTGTGCAGGACAGGCCCTGAGATGGTCATTGGGGTCAGCCCAGCTGAGC